GACATTCCACCTAGTCCATGGTTGGACTACTGTTGGACTAGCATTTTACTTGCTACGGTTGCCCGTATTCCTTCTTGGGTTCAAGTACTCACAAACATGCAAAACGTTGCCCAAATATGACAAAGCCGGCATGTAGATCATCTGCTCCTGAAGGGCATTCTGCGGGACATGGACGGCAACTAAAGCGCTCGACACATTTACGGGGCGTTCACTTCCTACCTTTTCCCCATCGACATACAGAGAGCGAACCTAACTTCTGATTAAGTGCAGCACCCCGGTCCGGCGTGATCTTCGTGAAGAGGAATGCTAGATTCTGCGGCATAGGGTCTGGCTTGTTCGGGGTGGGGAAGAGCCGGTTGGTCTTCAAGCTCCTGTTCTCGTTGTTCTTCTGAACGGAGAGCATCTTGTCGCTGCTCTGGGCAACGCCTGCCGCGTTTGGGTCCCCCTCGCCTGGAAGAGCATTCTTCAACGCAGCAATTTCGTGGTCGTGCTCGTACTTCTTCTTAAGCTCCTCAAGATTTTTTGTGTGGGTTGAACAGCATGATGCCGATGTCATTCAACCTACACAAAAAAAAAAGCTCCTCAAGATACTCGTCTGCTCCGTAGAAAATGGAGGCCTTGCTATGGGCGGCCTTGCCTTCCTTACCCAGGAGCGGGGCGCTGGTCGCCATAGTTGCAAAGGCGAGAGAAATGATTAAGAGAAACGCTTTTCGAGCCTGACTTCCCAATGATGGGCACTGGCATCGCCAGGATCATCCCCTCACTGCAATCCCGTATGAATCAAGAATCCCTGTCGATCAATCAATGCTCTAAGTTGGAGTTACTTTCACAACACCTGTTGCAAAGGAATTTACTTGTACTAGGCCCTGGGGCTATGCACCAAGTCAAACGAAAAGCTTCCGCCTTGACCTCCGAGCCTAACAGGCCGTCGAAGTTGCGGCCTTCCCAGGGCTACGAAAGACTGTCGCTGCCATAAACAAGCATAAACAAGAATCAACCATCCCAGTCAGACTGAGAGTAGGAAGGAAGGGTAGTCATGGTAGCAGTAATTTTGATAGCAACAACACTAGTACCAACAAGAAAAGCAATACAATCAAACTGATTGGCTCAGTTACATATGTGCCCCTACTGAAGTTCTGCTGGCATTGTAGACAACGATCGGTGATGCTGACATCATCAGCATCATCAACAGAAAAATCACAACTAGGATATTCGTCACAAGTGTCGAAAAAGGCAACCGTCATTGCCAGGCGTATTACGTTCATCTTCATCATCATCATCATCATCAGCAGCATCATCATGACCACCATCATCATCATCGTCGTCGTCGTCGCTGCTGTCCTCATCGTCCCAAGTCTCGAACGCCATCAAACGAAACATCATCGTCAGCATGGGGCGTTAACGCTGGGGCAATCTAGAGCACGGGCATGCCCCACGATGCTCCGTAGCACGGGACAACATCTCATATAATCTTGTACATCAGTGTGAAAATTCGTATGTTGCGCAGCGGTGTAGAACCTAACAACAAGTAAGTGGGCTTCTCCCCACCCCACCCGACGTCACCCTGTTATCTTGCCGACCCAGCGCGATCGAGAGAAAGAGGGAGGTGTAGGTATGTACATAGAGAGGGAGCCAGGCAGGCTGGCTGGCTGGCAGGCAGATAAGTGCAAGAGCAACAGTTTTGCAATTCTGTTGATGCTACTGACAAGCAGGTCTAACACGGCCGATAGACATGAGGCTGAAACAACGTCTAGCACATGTACCCGACCGATAGAAAGGGCTCATCCGAACAATGCACTTCTTGGTAAACCAGTGACGGTAACGAATGATCTCAGACCAGACCCGGGTTCCAGTCTGCAAAACCTCACCATCAACATCTGACTCAAAACCTTGCAAGCCTTGCACAGCAACCATATGTAAGTGCTTACATAATCGGATTTGCAATGTACCCATGTTGGATACCACCTACGGGTAACTGCCTGTTTCAACGCTGACAGGTTGACTCCAGTGAGCTAGACATGCGGAAGCATGGCAGAATAGAGAGATCTTACGTCATACTATATGCTGTACTATTTTTGAGTAGACCGTCTTGTGCCATATTATATGATATCAAAATACACTGAAACATGTGATATCAGATTCTTTCGTACCATACCATACTCAACAGTATGGCTCGCCTATCAGCTCGACCACCGCTCCCAAGCTGATGTTGAAAGTCTCCTGGGCACTTCTGGGCCGCACCCACCAGACCTTCAAGGCCTCCCTCCTACATCTTTCGATCGCAGATCTGATATGATCTGATATTAAACTGTACGAAAACTTAGACTCAAACCTCGTGCAAGCAACATCGGACCAACTGGTCTCACTTCGGGTGGTAAGCTTCAGTGCACATAGGTCCTGGACACCTTTCCTCACGACACGCAGTCACGAACACCTGAACAGCGGCTCTAATCCTCATAATAGCACCCGGGCATGGCCACAACGAAATTCAGTTTGCGAGATGTTGACACTGATTCCTCTGCTCACTACGCGACGGTATGCTCCAACGAGGGCAGGCCACGATATTGCAGGCAGCAGGTCTTTGATAAGTTCCCAGTGGTCGTTGGACATTCGCTACTTGCCATCTGCACGAGCGGCCACAGAAAACGCTACAACCCCCATGACACCGTTGAACTTTCGGCGTCCTCAACCCACAGAGGCAAGCAGACCCGCCCAAGCCCCAAAACTCCATGTACCCGTGTTGTCCTCACCGTCCACCAGCATCCGATCCACAGTTGGCTGGTCCTCTTCACCTGAAAGAAGCATCTGCGTGTGTTTGTGTGTACAAATGTGTATATAACATACATACGCATACAGATCTATATATATGTATATACATATATATATATATATGTATACATATGTATGCATACATGCATGCATACTTGCATACGTAAGGATTCATCTATGTATGTGTTTATTTGTCTTGTGGTTGGGTTTATGTATTTCTTTAATTCTTTGTGTATTAACATATGTTGGTTTGCATGTTTATGCGTGTCTATATATATATATATACATACCTGCCTGTATCTATCTGTACGTATATAGAGAGTGTCTGTGTATGTATGTATGTACAAATTATATATACTATAAAAAGTCAAACATATTTGCACATACACACATACAAAATCGTTTTCCCTTGTACCGGTATACCTGTATTTTGATACCGCTATACCTGTCTACCTATATACCTATGTACCACTATATATACATACATACATACATACATACATACATACATACATGCATACATAACACACCCGCATAACTATACACCTATATACATATGAACATGAATACATATACACATGCAGATTATACATATTACACAGTCGTAATTCCTTGTTGCAGATGCTGGGGTCTTTAAGATTGGACACTCTGGTCTCTGGCCCACAGCCCAGGTTAGTGAGATCGTCTTCTGAAGATTAGTGGGCGTGGAGGACGATCTTCAGGCTTTGATAGCATGAGGGCGTTAATGCATAGTGTCAGTATATAGGCACGAGAAGGGAATCCTACTCCGACCCCTATATTCTGCCACAGGGACATTCAGATGTAGGAGGTTTGTCTGCAGTCCCCGTTCTGATCAGGCCATTACTGCGCAACGGCAGCTTCTAAAACATTCTGCATCTGAACCACTGCCACATGTTGAGAGTGCTGTCCACTGGAGCAACAAGCATCAAGGAAGCACTTTGATCTCTTTGTGCGGAGCGGAGAAGCCAATCGTGCCGGATGATGATCAACAAATCTCAAAACAGACGGAAGGAAACACCAACCACTGTGACCACGGTCGACATCGTGACCATCACCATCATCACCATTAGCAAGAGCAGACCGCCGTCATTACTTTCCCCAGCATTAGCCATCCGGCAGAATTAGCACCGCCACCACCCGCACCTGCAGCGGCCACAGCACCACCAACACCTGCACAAGCCACAGCACCAGCACCAGCACCATCACCATCATCATGACAAGCAGTCATCATCGTCATCATCATCATGCCCATCATCACGCTCACATCATAGACTGCTGAGACCAGTTGCTGAGGAACGTGAAGCCGAAGGGCGTCGCAGGTGGGAGGCCTGCTGAAGCTTTGTATTTATTGCTCAGGCCTCAGGTCATGGCGGCTCTGGGGCCCCGCATCTCAAGGCTTTGGGGCCGCAATCATTTCAATACGGGAGATACTATGCCACAACTACCAAGGAACCCCAAGGAATAGCGATACCAAGTATTCAGATCAGGCCTAGTCCCACGGGCGGCCTGCTAGGCCTTGAGAACGGGCTCAAAAGCTGTAGCGTCGAGTATTTAGGGTTTAACCGCTGAGGGTTTCTTTTTTTGGGGGGTTAGGGTTTAGTGTTCAGAGCTTAGGGCCCGAGATGTGAAGCGTCTTTGTCGCTGACAGTAGGATACATCTCTCGCATCTGCGTCTGTTATCATCGCCACCATCACTTGCATCATCTTGTTGCAACCATCACCTTGCAAAGCCGATCAAAGTTCTTGGGGAGAGATGCAAAACAAAACAGGGTTTGGAGTTCGAGGTTGATCTTGGGTAGCCCAGCGAGTATTGAACAAGGTGCTGGACACTGCAGCGGCCTGAATCCGAGATTTCGTCCAAGATCTCAAGGCCCGGGACATAGATGCCTGAGTACCAATCACGGAATATACGATAACTGTACTCTCATATAACTGAGTGAAAGTACCATACCATACTCTAAGACAACAGCAATAGTCGCCCGGCAGGACGGAGTGCCAAAATCCGAGTTGCTCATGTTCTCTGCGTTCGCAGGGACGGTGAAGGCATCCACGATGGAGGATGAAATCGTGCTCGGGATTTCCATCCTAAGTGACCAAAGTCTGCTGTCTCTATTGGACCTGTACAGACCGGGGTCAATACCTCGAACTCAGTCGCATCTTGAAGCTAGATCGAATCTACGACGGAACCGCCCATGATGGAAGGACTTCAGAGCGAAGTGTATTTCGCGCGCAACAACCTGTGACAAAGACCACACAAAATCAAGGAGACCCCAATCCAAACACAAAGGCATCTCTGTTGCACCTCAAGCTCCAAACTTCGAACCCAGCCCTTTTAAGCCCTTCTTTTAAGGCCAATGCCCAGGATTTCGTGACCTCTGCCCCCGAACCACGACCACGAAACCCTGAACGCAGACCTGAAAACCGCAGAACCCGCGACCTCCAGCAGCCCCGAGCCCTCTAATCCCTAAGTGGTCACACCCTGAAACCTCTACAGCTCCAAAGCTCTAGGCTCTCCACACCTCAAACCAGTGAGCTTCCCTGTAGCCCTGAAACCTGTAATGCAGGGGCCTGAATAGTTAGACTAGGGTTTCTGGGTTATATTATACTTAGACTTATAATAAGGAGCCCCAAGAATACTATTGGCAACTATTTCGGCTTCTGTACTAGACACCCTAAACTCGACCACGCCACTTCTCGAAGTCCGGAGGCTTCACCAAGCCGAAGCGGCCGGTCGACGAATACTCCGTGTCTGGGCGGTTCTTCTTCGCTTCAGAGCCGAGGGTTTCCCAAAATGTTCTGGGTTGAGCCCTAAACCCTAAACCCCAAACCCCAAACCCCAAACCCTAAACCCTAAACCCTACACCCTATACCCTAAAGCCCCAAACCCGAAAAGGCTCTTAGGGGCTCAGGGCTTGGGGTGGTTTGATATTTGCTTTTGTTTGGGGCTTGGGTTCAGACACTCATAAAGCTTCAGAAGGGACTGGCCTGGGTTCTTGCAAACCCACTTTTACACAAATCTACGCTGAAGTTCAGGGGCTGACGGTCGAGGACTGTGGGCGTTTAGGGTATGGGTTTTGTTTTTTTTTATCACCTCTTTTCCATCTGCCCAAAGGAGTCCGGAATGGTATGGGGTTCAGGGTTTAGGGTTTTGGGTATGTATTGTCCTCTTTTCTTCTGTTGCTCAGCCCGGAGTGCTGCCATGGGCTGACAAGATGCCTCTCGACTAAGCGAGTGGCGAATATAGGGGCCTTAAGTTACACTATGCTTGTTAGACTAGACTATGCTTATATAGGGGGTTATAAGGGAATACTGTTAGACTATGCTTATGATATGGGGGCGTATAAAGGAATACTGAATACTGCTGGTAATTGTTCCGGCCTCTACATTCTCGCCTGTTTCAATTCTTCATCTGATAGCTACGGACCTCAAGCTGCAATTTCTGTGCGAGAGGCTCGGTAGATACTTGCAACAACAAGGAGGCAAAGACTAAAAGAGGAAGCGACTAACTTAGGAACATGAGTAAAGCAGGGGCATTCAGATACTGGTGTTCCAACTTTCGGGCTTCTGCTTTAGATTGTTTGGAAGTCAATGGCAATCCAGAATCTCCGCAGATTGCAGAAAAGATCAACTCCCTGCGCATGTGACAAAAAAAGGCTTCCTGCAAAGGATCCCGACGCCACTGATCTCGCAAGCAACAAGGATTTTGGAGATCTAGCTGCAACTCTGATAACCCTAGGGTCCTATGTCGCGGGGCTGGAGACACAAGAGCAAAAGAGACTGAGCAAACTCACCCGTGGCAGCTTGCAAAGGCTCAACTCAAAATACTTGGGCTCTGAGGCCGTCACTGCCCTGAGCACCCTCGGCGAGCTGGTTGTACCACCAGGCTGCAATGAGCAGGCGGTTCGAACAGGCACAAGTACTGTAGTACCAGCACTATTAGCAGTGGCAGTCGCAATGGTTCGCCGTCGTGGAAGTGGTACAGGTACTGGCACGGATACTTGCACTCGTATTCGTACTGGCGGCGGCGGCGGCAGCGGCGGCGGTTGTGGTGATGGAAGTCGTAGTCAGAGTCGTACTAGTTGTCGTAGTAGTACTCGTCGTAGCGTCCGTAGCAGTAGTAGTAGTAGTAGTCGTCGTGGTAGTAGTCGTAGTAGTAGTAGTAGTAGTAGTAGTCGTGGTGGTGGTGGTGGTGGTGGTGGTGGTCGTGGTCGTGGTCGTGGTCGTGCGTG